TTTATAGTAGATGGAACAAGATCCCTGCGCGGGCCGAGGGGAGAGGAAAGGCAGCGCTTGGGGCGGCCTCGCTCCCGCCCCGCTTGGCTTCGGCCACGCCACGGCCCAGCCACCCACGTCTCCCCAGCAAAGCCCCTTCCCGCGAGCTCCGGATAGTGGTCAGGAGCCGCCAAGATCCCGTGGGATCGGCACCTTGGCAGGGACAGCGCCCMGGGGCCTGGGCCCATATCTTAAGGGCTCCAATTGGTGAATAGGACTACGCAGGGAAGCAGCTATTCCAGTTCAGAGYGTCTGAACGCTCGATGCGGGCATTTGGGAAGGGCAGGAGGGCACACGGGCACATTCCCTGGAAACCCCTCGGCTAGAGCTGCCTTTCCTGCTCCTCTCTCCGCAAGGCACCGCCGGCGCCCTGCGGGGCAGAGACTGGGAATGTCAGCAGAGAGCTGCCCCGAGCTGTGCGCACCGCTCCGGCCCAGGGACACGCAAAGGGGACCGCGCAGGAGACACGAGCAAGAAAGTGACTCATTCTGAGCAAAGGAACTGCTGCTAGGGCAGAGAGGGGCCGCGGCCCCCGGCAAAGCCCCCTCTCCAGGGACTTGCCAGAACCTGGTTTGTTTCCTAGCAGAAAGCAGCAGCAAACACAAACCTCCACTTACTAACTGCTAATCACTTGGCACCTTCCCAGCGTGCTGCAGCAACAGCCAGGCTAGAGACACTTCAAAGGGGGTCCTGCCCTGCAAGCCCCCGGCTCCAGCGGGCACGGAGCGCAGGCCCTGCACCGCAGCGGGGCTCGGGGCACGCGGTGCGGGCGCAGGGACAGGCGCCGCAGGCTCTGGGGGTCCCGTGCTCCCCCAATACCTCCCTTGCTCGCCCTGCGGCGCTTTGCCCAAGGCTCCTGCAGGGCCCCTCCAAGGACAGAGGTGGGGAAACAGCAGAGCGGGGAGCGCTGCAGGGCGGCCCCGGCCCCGCAGGAACCAGGGCAGCRGGGGAAGCGGCGCGGCCCAAGGCCGCACAATGAGATAGCGACAGGAAAGGGAAGCCGGGTGCCTGTCTCCTCGCTCCGGCCCCGCTCCTGCACTGCTCTTCCTTGCCCTCTGCAGCACACTGGGGTGAAAAAAAAATAAGAGGCAGCAAAGCACATGAAAGGCTGCAACAATAAAGAGCCTGATAGCGGATCCTAAGGACTCCAGCAGCTGTAGGAGCCAAGTGCTTCTCGGAGGGGGCTGCATGGAAGGGGAGCTTCCCTCCCTGCTCGCATTGTATCTCTTTCCTCTGCCAGAAGGCGCTTCCTGCCGCCGGGCAGAGCTCCCCGCGCTGACCTCGCCTTCCTCTGCTGGGCGGCCGCGAGCGCGGGGACGAGTGCAGGGATGGCATTCAAGGCTCTGCCCCAGCCCGGGCCACAGACAGGTCCGATCCCGTCCTCCGCACGGCTGCAAACGGGAGGCAGCAGGAGCAGAGCGGGGGTCACACAACACCTTCCCCAAAGGCGGAATGCTCTGAAGCCCCAGCTCTTGTTTGCAGGGAAGCAGGAGGCTCTGCTGCCCTTTTCAAGGAGCCCAAGCACCCTCGGGTTACACAGCCCTTGCAGAGCAGCCACGCTGCTTTTACAAATATAAAGCAGTACCTTGAGTCAGTGCTTTCCACGGTTCAGCTATCAACTTGGGAGCAGACCTGCACCTCTTCCACAAGGCTCCCTTTGCTCTGTATTTATTTTCTTGGTGTGAAAAATCAGAGCCAAAGCTGAGCTTAACAAAGCACTGGGCATGGCCATTCATCCCAGCCCTCATTTTCCCCAGCGAGAAGGGAGAAATTAACTTAAATCCTATCAAAACAGCAGAAGCTGTTCACCGTGCTGCGCTGCAGAACACAGCACATACAAAACACTCACTTCAACCATCTGCCTTTGCCAGCCCAGACAAGAGCATGAAGACACTGGCTGGGAATCCTTTAGCCTGGGTCTCTGCGGGAGGGAAACACATACAAGAGCCATCCCTGCCACGTGCCAGGCGGCAGCAACGGGGATGCTCAAGGTGCAGGCAGGATAGAAGGGCTTTTACCTTGTTTAAATGCTCCCAGTTCAGCTCTTCGAGCCCTCTTCTCCTGGATCCAGTTAGGTTCAGCAGAGCTCTTCATTTCTCAGCAGCTTCTGCTTCTCTCCCAGCCTGCTGTGGCTCTCGCCCGTGGGGCACATGAGCGTGCTGCCAAGCAAGGCCTCCTCCTTCCCTGATCTTATGCCTTAATGATTAAAATAACAGTAAGGACCTTTGGAGGCTTTATGTTCCCTGCTCTTCTCTCACCAAGGCCGTGCACAGGGGGAACGGACAGTTGTACCTGGTTTGTATATTTGACCAGCCAAGTGGTTCGGAACAAATCTAAATCAAGTCTCAAGCTACAAGTTCTCACACGCAAAAGCAGAGTTGGACCTTTTCTAACAAGGACGCGGTTGTATTAGACCGTTCAGCAAGCTCATGTCAGTCTCTAATGGAATAAAGAAATAATTTGCTTTGACATTAAATATTGCAAATAATCTGCCAGAGAGGGGCATAGTAAGCTAGCAAATATTATAAATTGCACTTGGATTTCCCAACCACCTCCATCTTCTTTTGCTCTCTAAACTTCCATTCACCTTAATTATATTCAGAAGGAATTATCAAAACTTTTTCATTATAGTTTCTTCCTTTCTACTCACCTCAAGTCTTAGCTTGTTTTTTTGTCTTTGCTATCAGTAATGCCCACTTACCTTGGGACTCATGAGGGCAAAATCATCACACAAATCCCTGGGATCAGCTGAAAGCAGCCACAAGAGGGAGACTTAATCTCCTATTAATATCCAGACGGATTCTGCTTTCAAAACGTCTCTCAGAAGAACACACCGCAAGTTTTCAAAAGAATTTTAAAAAGTCATCTTGAACTCCAAATTTCCTTTCCAGAATTCCAGAAGCATTCTTTTTCTGAAAGTAAGGGTTCTTTAAAAATTATGAATATTAAGTATTTTTACATAAAGAGATACAGGTATTGGGGGGTTTAAATTTCCTGTGGATTAAAAAATTTACTTGTCACACCTCCATTCTAAAAACCATACTGCAACTGAACTCAGAAGAAGAGCTGTACATGAGCAGTTTTTGTCCTAGCAAATCACAGTTTACAAGAGCTTGATAGGCAAGCTCCTGACTCATATGAATCTTTTTTAGCAGGTATGCCATATGGTTATGAGACTGGCATCAGAGCTAGATAAAATAATTTCCTCTCTCACCTTCTCAGATGAAGACTTTGCTATTGGGACTTTTTGGCTAACAGTACATTTTCTTTAGCCTTTTGTATAGGGGACTGCAGTAAATAATTTATTTCAAACCAAACTGCCAGATGTTTAAAGGGGACACTCTCCTCAAAGGGACGCTGTCATAGCAATCCAGCTGCACCAGAATGGAATACTCCTTCCTCACTAAGATTTGAAATTGCACTAGGGTTTTACTCTTCTCAGGCCACAGTCTAAAACAGCGGAGCAAGTTCTGCTCGATCAAACTATGAAGGGCCAGATACCACGACACTGGTTAAGTTTCTCTAGCTGTTAATTTCACACGTGTGATTAGAAGTTCTGGCAAAGCTTAAAGCCTACACTATAACAAATAACACTTTTCACATTGCCAATAAAATATCTGTGTTGAATCTGTTTGCATCTGTTCTCCATCTGCCAAGAAATTGTCAGGATACATTCCTCAAAGATAGTTTTATGGTCTTTACTTCATCTTGACATTCACTTGCTCTAAACTTTCCAAGAAACATTACAGCTCCGAAGGGGGCACGTGTGATTGAGTAAAGCCACAGAACAATTTTGAACAGAAATAGCTGAATTTAAGCACTGTCCAATGCACCAAGAACTGCGCTGGATGGCAACTTTCTCGCCGATTCAGCCCAGAGATGGAGAGGAGCAGCAACCATCTCACAAGCAGCTCACAACAGAAGTGCTGGCAGTGGAGCTGAAAGCTACTTGACTTTAGGAGCACTCCATTGTCCGTTTCCTGCCTCAGAGCCTGTCCTTCTCTGCTGTTTCCTTTCRTATTTTCTCCTTTCCACTACTGCTCGAAACTGAAGAGGGAACCTATGCAAGCTCAGAAGTCAGTTCTCACTTTCCAGCGAGATCAGTGTGTTATTACAAGATTAACAACCTGTTACAAAAGGTAATAGATTTAGCTCTCACAAGACAGATGAAAAATCTTAAACCTGGGAGAGAACAGCATAAATCAATGTTTTATTATTTTTTTTCTTACAGTACTAGCCAACCTAAGGGTGGGGTTTATAAAAGACTATATTAAAAAATGTCCCTCTATTTATACTCATCATTCTTTCCTGAAGCAATTTAATGGGCAAAAATACTCTTTAATTATGATTAGGGACTGACTACTGGAATGCCCATGCCTGTTTATTCAAAAGCAGATGTTCAGCAATGCAGTGTTTCATACATTATGCTGACAATAGCAAGTTATTAACAAAACACGCTATCTAACAAGTCTTTCGGCGAGACTGCCTAGCTATTGGAGTTGGTCAGTGAAAACACATCAGACACGATACATGTGTTAACATCCCGGAACAATTTATCCTCCACTTGGCCAAACCTCACTTCACTCAGCTGAATGTGATTACATCTCAAGCTTGCCCTAATTTCCTTCTCCACAGAAAAGGGGTTATCTTTCTTCAGGAGTGTGTGGCTGCTCTGAAATGCTGCACTGACCTGGAAGAAGCCACAGAGATGCCCACCAGCTCCAACCAGGCCACACAGCTGCTAAGGCACATGATATATTGAGGGAAACATGTGGCACAGCACTTGCTTTCTGAGCTTTAGTCAACATACCCAACCAGGAAATCGCAAGAGCCCATTGGCTGTGTTGTGTATAAGATATTTTCAGATAAAGATTATATAATGTTCCTCTAGTTCCATGGATCAGAAACACATGATACAGCCACGGACCCACTACAGCTTCATCCTATCTGCCTAAATGAACACAGTCWATCTTTACAGTATCACACCTGGTCTACCGAAGGAACAAAGTCACATCTCTGCCATAGTTCARGCTACAGCTGAACCAAGCCTGGCCTTGAGCAAGCTCAACCACACACAGTTTTGTGAAAACAAGTTAATTTGCCCCTTTTTTTAGGGTCTTTTTAATATGGTTCTTGCCACTGGATATAAAAGACACACAAGATCTAATTCCTACCAAACATTATGACAGTGAGACAGCAGCAATGATCTGCCATGACCCCTTAAGAAGCCACCTTCTTAGATAGCTTATGAGAAAAGGGCGTTGTCCAGAAATCTTTTGTTTTTTAAAGCCTAAAACATAACGCAAGTTTCTGATAAAGCTGTTTGCGTTCCTCRGTTTAAAAAATAAAATAGAAGCAGCTAAACCAGCTACATGAAGAACARGCAATGGGTAAGGTGAACAAGGACCCTGGTGTCATAAACAAAATTGACCCCACAAACAGCAAAAGCCACAGACTTGATTAAATTTTTGCTCCAATACAAGTCTTAGGGTAAAGCTGTACAGAAGGATTTTCTTGGAACTAAAATACACAATAATCAATTGGAAGATTCTAAGGGAAAACATTAGCAACTTGTTTGTAATCAAAGTTTACTCAACCCAGGAGCAACAAGCTCCTTAAAAAGCAAATAAAATTAGCACAAGAAATCTTATCTCAGTTTCTGATTGTCTGAAGCAGTTAAAGACTCAGACTACATTCTACTCCATCCCAGACAAGCTTTTTTTGAGCTGCTAGGATGTGCAAGTATGTTCAAGAAAGTCAAGTAAGCCGCATAAATGTTTGGGTTTTTTAATCATTATAACTATACTCAACGCATATTTGACTGTTTACAGTTGTAAGTCATGTATCTTTGCATTTCAGTTGCAGTACAAGCTGCCCAATTTACCAGGACCAGAAGAAAAGCCTACTGCCAAATGGAGAAGGCTTCAATTCTCCTTCGATGGGTGGATTTGGCTCCGGCCTAGGTCGAGAGTGATAGACATTCTCAGGGATAGGTCTGTCTGTCTTCACTTTTGTGACCTGGGAAAGAGAGAGGAATGACAACTTCTCACAGCATTTAACAGAAAATGCTCAATTTAGTGTTGGGTTCCCATAGCACCTGGTAGGAAAAGACTTTGAGACTCAGTCTGGACAAAAACATGGGGAGGGAAGAAAGATCCTGGCCAGCCAAGCAAAAAGAAGTTAAATCACCTTAGAGAGCTCTCCCAGGTCAGGTCTCACCCAACCCAGCTTCTCTAGTACGCAGTTATCAAACACGGCCTGTTGTTTGCGGCATCGGCGAAGCTCCTGCATGTTGGTGTAGTCAATACATGTCCAGTATTCAGTAAAGGGCTCAGCACAGTTCAGCTTAATCTTCCTGTAAAAGATTACCGAAAGAAAATGCTTAGTAAGTGTTGTTGCTTTAACGGCATTTCTCTCACAGGTGCCCATCTCAACTCTTGAYAGTATTTTCATAGTTTTAAGTTCTCGCGAACGTTTAAAAGTCTTTAGAGAAGTCAGCATTTATAGCACCATTTACCAATACTGCTGTCGAATTAGGTTAGATGGGGATCACTATAAATAGGGAAAGCAATAAATCAACTGGTATTCAGAAAACATTCTTGCTACACAGATATATCCTACAGCCAGTATAAGATGTTTATTTACCCTACATGYTCTAGGTGTGCCTGCTTGAGCAGGAAGGTTGGACTAGATGATCTGTAGAGGTCCCTTCCAACCTTAAATATTCTGAAATATTCTGAAATATTTTAACAAGCAATAGTGTGCACTGCACAATATTATACTGCTTCCAGACTAGTTTGATGTTTTAAGCTGAAATCAAGTGCTCAGGATGGAAGTTTTTGACCTCCAGCAAGCTGCTACACTGGAAAAGGGCACTCTTYGGGCCAGTAAGACAGGTCATATGCTACCAAGCCAAGAAAACATTAACGGCACATACCTAGCACTGCAATTTAGGCACARGAGATATATGTATGCTTCCATACATGAGTTTCCACAGCAATATGCCTTTGCTCACTTTGCACTACACCTTTTGCAAGAAAGAGCAAACCGAGYAAACCTTGCACTGTTTTTATGGAACAGTGCAAGCTGAGGAAGCAGCCAGCCTTGCCCCCAGAGCTGCCTTTGCGGGGGAGAAACGGGGGTTTTTCCACAGAACAAGGAACCGCAATCAAGGRGGAGGCCGGTCCGTGCTGAAGGAGGAGGGTCGCACCTGAAGAACTCGAGGGCGCACTCGTTGACCTGGCGGCCCTCGCGGAGGCACTTGCGCGGGTCCTTCTCCTCCCAGCGGCACAGCATGAACTCCTTGTTGGGCCGGTCGCACTGCGAGCCATAGTGATGTGCCGCGGCCTTGAGCACGGCCGAGCTGACGCTCACCTGCGGAGGGGCAGAGCCGCGCTAGGGGCGCCCGCCGGGCCGGGGGGCAGCCCCGCGGCTCCCCCGCGGCGCCGGGCGCACTCACCTCGCGCACGTCGAGCTCCTCGAGCGAGGGCACCTCGACGCGGCCGGGCATGGCGGCGCCCGCCGCTCTCCTTGAGCTCCCCTCAGCGCGCGGCGCAGCGCGCATGCGCCCGCGGCGGCGCGGGGCGCAGCGCGCATGCGCCGCGCTGGCTTCTGCGGCGGAGGGGCGCGTGGCGCATGCGTGGGGGCGCGCAGGGGGCAGCGCGCATGTGCAGCGTTGGCGTTGGCGTTGTCCTGGCGACGGCCCCGGCGTTGCCGTGGCGACGGCGCCGCCATGGAGGTGCGGGCCCCGCTAGGCCGCGGCCCCGGGGGAGGCGGCGGCGCCGCCGGGCAGGGCGCCCGGGCCCCGGACAGGCCCGAGGTGGCTGGGCCGCCCTCCCGGGCGTTAACGGCGCCTTTTGCAGGGGAAATACACGTTCGCCGACGGCCTCGAGTACCGGGATAAAAACTGGCACTACTGCGACGGCTACGACAGGAGGTTTTACACGGAGATCTGCTCCGGTCTGAAACCGGCAGGTACTGCCGTGCGCGGCGCGGGACTCGGGTGGAAACTGGGATGAAAGAAGAGGAATTCGGGCTGGCCTCTTTCCAGCCCTGGGAGAGACAGCTTGGCCATAGATACCAAACATGTCTGTCCAGCGTGCGCTCTCGCTAAGGGTTTTAGTGTTGTCATTTATCCATGACAACAGTCGGAGAGGAACAGACTTGGATGCAAAAACACGGAGTAAAACACGCAGTGCAAGAGGTGCTCCTGCCCGGGCACCGAGTGTCCCGGGGATGGCAGGTGAGGCCAGCAGGACCCTCCCGGCGCCGTTCCGGAGTTCGGGCTTCTCCTGGAAGCACCAGCTTGGCGGTGTTAGAATTGAACTGCTTCTTGAACGCGGCATTGTGTGCTCTCTGTGCCGGGGCTGCTGCTCTTCCGTCTTCTCCATCTGCAAAATCCACAGATCTGCGTAACTTCTGATAAATGTTATTGGTAATTATAATTTTATCAAATGTCATGAAGATATAAAGTAGTATTTGTTAGTTGTCATGATCAAGGCACAAGTGCAGGAATAAAAATAATTTAAAAAAAATAAAGCAAACTTTATGCTTCTTGTTTCTTCAGGCATTTCCCAACTTACAAACTTGGATCCTCCTAGAAAAATCCCAGAAGGATGTTATGACTGTGGTGATGGATTCTATAATCCTGAAACCAGAGTTATCATTGACTACAAATTCAGATTTCTGAGAAATGCAGGTATGTTTAACCTATTTTGCAAGGCAAATTAGCCTGAGGTTCTTTCTCGTGTCCTCCAGGATATTCTCTCAAGATGAAAAAAAAATTCTCAGGTTAAAAACCAACAAAATCTGAAACTGGAGAATTGGAGGATCTCAAAAAAAAAAAAGCACTCTGACCTGAAATAAATGCTTAATGCTCTGGTTATTTATTTTTTTTCTTTAACACCATTCTTTAGTGCAGCTTTTAATTCTTTTTTTTTTGTTGTTGTTTTATTATTTTGTATTTTTTAATTTCAAAATGTTCTCTCTTTCTTTTTTTTTTCTTTTTTTCTTTCTCTCTCTCTCTTTTTTTTTTTTTTTTTTTTTTTTTTGTCCCAATTCCAGGACCTGGCATTTCTAGAGTGTGGCATTTCATTTTCAGCGTGCCACACTCTAACAGTTTTGTTGCTTGGAAACTCCATTTTTCAGCAAATTTACTATTTGTTAAAAAAAAAAATCTGCCCAGTTCCAGTTTCAAGAGCTCTTATAAGTATACACTGTGGTATTGGAAGAGGGAAACGAAGAGGGGGGGGTAAATGAATTAGAGATACCATCTGCTATAAAATATACCCTATGATACATGGCTTGTTTTATAAATGTTGAATAAAAACTGATCTAGATTATTACAAATGGCATTGATCCAAAATACTGGAATGCAGTGGGCCTACTGATGAGGAAGATAAGCAACGTGCTTTCCAAAAACACAGGAACCTACATAGATTAGTACAGGAGGGAACGCCTTGGAATTTAATTTATTGTTTTTTAATCTATTCTTTGAACTCATTGTCCTCTATGACATTTATCTCAAACCCTACAAATTATATCAATCAATATGCACTAAGCAGAGCGGCACAGCGTGTCATCTGACACGGTTGCTGGAGATGTGCTTTGTGTGACTGTCCCACCGAGGAGCCCGTGTACAAAGTTAAACTTGTTGATGCGAGTGTGAAGAAGGAATGTGTCATGTTGGCCAGACCCTTCCTCTTAAGAACACGAACACAATTGAAAAACCCGGCACTTGTTCAACATCAGAGGAACTCTTACTGCCCCTGGAGAGATGATTCAGGGCACAAGGCCACTGCAGTTAAAAAAATAAAAAAAAAAAAAAAAAAAAAAAAAAAAATAATTTAAAAAAAAAAAAAAAAAAAAACAGCTGTAAGCAGAAGAAACTGAGGAAGAGGCTGGAATGACAGGGAACAGATCCAGAATTACTGCATTATAGGTTGGGCAGGAAGGAGCAGGAAAACCTCCAGGCTTGCAGCCAAGTCTTGAAAGCATCAAAAGCAGATGGTAGGAAGCATTCAGGAAGTTCTTACAACAGCTTGACAGGTTTACCAAAATGACACTATCTTCCTCGGGTTTGGACGCAGGCTTTAAGAATACTCTGCTTCTCACCTTTCACCCTGGCCCTGTTATGAAGCAATTTCTGATTGTTTCGCTGCTGTTTGGAAACGGGGTGAGGAAGCGAACTGCCTTGGCACTGACTTTCCTGCTGAACTGGCAGCATCCACGTAGCGTTCCAGAAGAGAAAAGACCAGGCGCCGTTTGGAATCGCCGAGTTTGCTTCCACCCCTCCTTTGTCAAGATGAGAGCATGCCGAGCACTGCAGAGACCCCTGCGAGACCTGCCAAGTTGAGCTAGCAGGGAGGTCTGATACTCATTTACTCGAAGAGCTCTCGCTGTCAAAGCAGCGCAAAGGCCCATCGTGAAAATGCAATCAGGCCCGGGGAATTAAATGACAGCAACAGTTTTGTTCTGCTTCTTATCTAGCAAAGTTTTCCAGATTCTCATTAAAATCTTACAGTTATTACTCCATTGCTAAACCTCTGTTTCCTTGGGGAGCCTCAAGTTTCTCTTGGTTCTTTATGTGTTCTTCAACCGTTTCTTTCTCTCTGCATTGCGAAGAACACAAAATTGGACAGATAAATGAGAATATGTAAGAATAGTCATTTGTAAGAAGATGCAGTATTTATTTTAAGTAGGTCCCGAGACTAGACWGCTATCAAATCAGAGTATTACTTAAAGAAAAAAAATTGGACTTTTGGAACCTTCGTAACATTTTAGTTAAATCAAAGATGGGAGGATTTCCTGATTCAGTGGAAAGATATGATGCTATGCGCAGTGCAAAGCAGGGAGGCACATGAAGGGCAATGATGTTAATGATTGAGGACCCCAAAAATGTGGAGAGGAAAAAAGAGAAAAAAAACATTAAAAATAGAAATCTTGTTCTAGTGATACAGAAAGAATAATAGGAAATTTTCTGGATCACCTCGCTTTTGATGAAAAACAAAAATACTTCTGGTGAAAATTGCAGCATTTCTTCCTGGGTTAAATGGCATAAATCCAGCTTTTACTCTTTGTTATTGAGAATATTTGGGCTTCTACTTTCGTATTCCATTTTGATGTTTAACTAGTTGGTGTAYAGTGCGTAGGGTAGCTTTCTATACTGCAGTGGATGTGACCTGGAGTATGTGCATCTTGTCATAGAAAATCAAGAGCAGGAAGGACTCAAACCATGCCRTCACACTAACAGCCACATTCAGGTAAATGAATTAATATGCATGTAGCTGAGAACAGGATTAGGCCCAGAAAAACAAGACGAATATCTTATTAAGAGGAGAGTTTTTGGTGCTGCTGTAGTCCCAAGCCAGCTGCAATCAACTTAGGATTTCTACAAGCCTGAAAGTCTTATAAAAAGCAGCAGGAAAAGTCCTGCTGCTTCAGCAATCATTGTAAACCAAAAAGGTCAAGATTCAAGAATATTATTTTACTCTGTAATTTTACAAGTCTGATTTTAGAATATCCAAGGATCGTTGGCATTGGGGCTTATCCAACTCCATGGACAAGACATTTTATTTTTAATTGTTGATAATCATAGACTTACAGTTTCCTYATATTATTACTTTGGGATGAAAATTGTTGTGCTTACTTTGAATAGAGAGAGGCCTTTTCCCTTTTGAAAGCCGGTAGAAATATATTAATCTATTTCAGGCTTATCCAAGTATACGAATCCGTAACACAAATCTTCTACATTTGCACTTTTTTTGCTTTACATCTCAAATGTGATTGCAGCAAGTGCTGTTTGAGAAATGTAGACTTCGACTTGTCTGAAAAATATAGCTGGGAAACAGAGCCATAACCGCTCAATAATTATGTAGGGTAATATTTCTCTACCTACCCCCCAAATACATGCAGATGTATGCGTGCTCTTTCTCATAAACTACTGGTGAGTTGGGTGTGGGATGAGGACCTGGCAGTTTTTCAGGCCTGGAGTATTTCTGGAAAAAAAAAAGACAGCAAGTTTAACTTACAAGTAGGCTGTGCTGCAGAAAGGAAGGAAAAATGCCTGTACTTAGAGATCCTGCACTGAGCTTTATTCCCTGTTTTCTTTGAAATTGCCCATTCTGATGATGGAAGGAGTGGATGAACAGGCTGATTCCAGGCTAGTCCCTAGTCATTGCCTAAGAATGTAAGAGTTGTTTTGGCAGATGACCGTAGCAATGGAGAGGAAAGCCCCAGCAATACGCATGCACGGGGAATATAGTATTTTTGTTCAAATGAATTTAGCTTCCCATAGATTTAAATGTCTACTTATAACACAGGACCATTTAATCTTTTGTACATTTGTTTCTTTTTTATTTGACTTAAGATACTGAATTTAGATGAGGTTTAGTTCCTACATATTGAAACTCTTAAAAGCTCTTCAAATAATTGTTCTTTGGATACTTGTTAAGCTAAAGAAATCAGTTTTGATCGGCAGTAAAAGTTCATGCTATTTTAAGTGCAATGCTATAGCTATTTTCTGTTGTATATTTAATCATTTTGAATTATATGTCATGTAAAAGATTTTAGCTCTGGGGCATTTGCCAGAGGGCTGATTCTGCATTTCACACAACAAAAGAAATAATGTTTGTGTAAAGCTCTTAAAAATAGTTGGTAATCAGTATATTCTATAACGAATGGGATCCAGACCTGTTTGGAAAAGAAAACCCCACAGCTTTTGCAGAAATTAATTTAGAGGGTTTGGTCTCTACCTCTGGGCTCTGAACAAAACAAATTGTGTCTATTGTTTGCTGATTTTTTAAATATTTGACAAGTTAACAGAATTGTAGATTTTATGCATTTTTATTTAAACTCTGTTTGTTGCAATTCATTGATCTTTTTCTCTTTACTTGGCCTGGAAAACTTATTTCTGAGAAGTGGGTTTTACAAACCGAATCGCTACTGCTCTCTTTGTTTGCCCCAGTGGAGCGCAGCGGCCAGAGGAGCTGCTTGCTTTTCTTGTGGCACCTACGTGCTTGTCCTTGTCCTGCTCTGCCTCGACTACTGCTGGCTCCTCTCTCGGCCTCTTCCATACTAATTCCTCCAAAAAATAGCAGAGCAAAAAATACTCTGCCTGTCTGCCATGGCACTCAGCTTGTGTTCTTTGCCCAAAAGGCTCTACTCGAAATATTTGGTTTGCGTCTCTTCCGTCTCCTGTAAACTTTTTCCATTGTATCTAGACTCACAACATAGCTTTTTCTGCCTATATTCAAACAAATACCCATTTTCTAGTATTTACTTTCCAGAATAATCACTTGCATGATAACCAGAATATTTGAAAAATATAACACTAAGAGGAATGTTAGAAATTTTACTGCAGCTCTTTCATCTGGCTCTCCAAATGTCTCTCCTCTATCCCTTCCTATTTTTTAAGATAGACAGGTAGCTCTTCTCCTGTTTTGAGAACTTTGACCCTAAACCATTTCAACGCTTGACAAATCAGTTGAGCAAYCCAATTTTAGGAAGAGGACAGGCAGAAGGTTACTAAGTACCCAGCTCAGGAGCGCCCATCGGGAAAGGCGAAAGAATGAAGGTTGGTGAAAAGATGGCAGAAAGAAATTCCATCTGCTTACCAGTCGTGTGTGCTCACATCKCACAGAGTCCCTGGTGGCTCTTACATGGGGTGGCCTCGTGCCTGTCGTCACCCTAGTCCTTTTCTTTATGTTGGACCCATTCTCATACCCTTCATCTCCTTGTTAAGATCAGGCAAATTTGAAGGCTGTTGCAAAATACATATTTATTATGTCTTTCTCGCTGTCAAAGGTTGTTCAGATGTAGTTGGAGACCTCTCATCTGTGTAACCAAGAAATTATTTTTATATTAAATACGCTGTACATATCTTAATATAAAATATATCCCACTCCGTATAATAGATTATGAACCAACGAGATTTGTATTCAATATTGTAATTAAGAATGAAAATATATGCAGCATAGTATACATTTTTACAGTAATTTCAGTAGCTAAAGCTTTTGCAGATATATTGTTCCTTGTGGTTTCCTGGTCTTAAAATAATTATCATTTTGAAAACCGTGAAGGTTTCAATTCCAAACAGTGATGTGCCAAGAATAACAGCTTTGTTTGTGTGCTAGCCATCCCATTGTGGATCTATTTGCTGGGTTAGATGCAAGTCTTACAGGCACTTATATTCACCCATACAGTTCACGTGGAAACAAGTTTTACAAGAGATGGAAAGTTCATTTTGGGGCCATTTTGGAATTACAGTAATTAAGTGTAAATGGAAGGGTGAGAATTTGTGGGTTGAAGCAAAGGTTAATTGAAAACGCATTTTTCCTTTTCTTGCCAGCCTTGATGTTGGTGGGGTCAGGTGCAATAAGGAAAGTGATGCTAGGGACCCCAGGAGGGCAGTGGAAATGAACAGGGTGCGCCAGGCAGAATCCACGGCCGAGATGTTATCGCGTGTGATTGTGCAGTGGAAGAACGCGATAAACGGCGCTGCGGGTGATGGGAGGAGCCAGGCGGACGAAAGAATTAACCGATATTGTTGTTTACAGTGTTCTGAGCGCGCTTGGCCCTCTACAAACAAAGGGGAAACTCAAGCAGTGTCTATTGTCCGTTGCAAATACATTGACATACAGCAAACAGGTCACAAGTCAGACAAGATTGTATGAGCAAAGTATCTTTTTTTCCCCTTGTAAGACAATAAATACTCTAATTTCAACATGGTGCATCTGCCTATGCCCCACTAGATGCATTTAATATAAGAAAAATCAATGTTCTGGATTTCCAGTGTATTTTCAAATTACCCC